AACCCGGTCCCTGCTGATGGCATCTTGCTGACCTGGCTGCCATTCCCCACCGGAGTTAGCATGTGCTGGACCCTGGCAGGCAGGAAAACGCATCCAGCTCCATGTGCAGTAGCAGCTGCACATCTTGTTTCACTTGCCTGACTTCACCCGATCCTTCTAAACCCGCACACCTCCCTCTTCACCAAGACCCCTTTGCCGCCCCCCACCCCCTGAGAGGAGACACTCCAGCCTGGATTTACAGACTCAGCTGAAGACTACACCTGCATCTAGCAGCATTACCTGGTCAGAAAGACTTACAATGTGTGGGCATTGTATGTAATTCTGGTGACTTTTCGTTTGTTTGTTTATTGAACAAAGTTGTGTTCAGGAAGAGAATGATCAGTAGATGGGGCCGATGAGACAGATAAAGGTGTTTGCTGCCAGGCCTGAGGACCTGAGTTCGAACCCCAGCACTTCCACTCCCTAGGCTGGTCCCAGGGCATTGCTCCCATCTAACACTTGTTGTTTGGGAGGTAGAAATAAGAGCAACCGGAGCTCACTCATTTTCTTTTCCTTGGGATTGCGTTTTTAAAATAGCTTGTATTAAAGTACAATTTGCAAAAATAAGTACACATTTGATAGGGTTTTGAAAGCGCCACAGTGTAAAGGAAATATCCACCATGTCCATTGCAAAGTCGCCTTATCCCCTTGGGGTTCCTTCCACCCCTGCTCCTGTCCCCCGGCAGCCACCGAGGTCTTGTGTGCCATTGTATGTTAGTTTATATTGTTTCAGAATGTCAGGAAAAAATAGAACGGGATCCTTTTCTGCAGTTCATCAGTGGGCACCAACGACTTCCTCCTTGCCTCTCTTTCTTCCTGTGCCAACAGTCCAACTTGGAACTTGGTGCATACTAGCAAGCACCGGTCACGGCTTAATTCTTTGTATGGCTAGGATATGCTGTAATTTGCTTATCCACTTACCTGTTGGTGGACATTTGAATTGTTCTCAGTTCTTGAGTATTAAGGATAAAGTAGGGATAGTAGGGATGAGGTTGTTTTGTTTTGTCTTCAAGACAGGGCTTCTCTGCATAGCTGTCCTGGGACTCTCTATGTGGACAAGTTTGGCCTCAAACTCACAGAGATCTTCCTGCATCTGCCTCCTGAGTGCTGGGACTAAAGGCATGCACCACCAACACCCAGCCCAGATGTGCTTTTTTTGTGCAAGTTTTCTTTTTAAGAGAGTGTGCATGCACGCATGCACGCATGCACACACACTCAGGTGCTTGCAGAGGTCAGAGGCACTGCATCCCCTTGGAGCTTCAGTTACAGGTGGTATAAACTTAACTTTGTAGCAGGAATCTTCAAAGTTCTTATTAATAAAATCAAGCCAGAGGCGAGTTATTGGGGTCCATGCTGGTAGATCAGAGAGACAGAACAAGCCACAGCTATCTCACCTCGCCGGATCCTCAGCTGGTCTTGTCTCCTCAGACTGGAGGCCTCTGAGTCCTCATCTGGAATGGGTCTCAGCTGAATTACTGCTCAAAAGCCT